ATTATTGAAATGGGCTGTATGCAATGACTTATTGATGTCATAATATTCCATTAGTAACTTATTATTTTCTTGTTTACATAATGCCAGAAATTATAGGGGTAATGCTGGTCCAACACACAGCACAGCAGAAATAGAAAGCTCTTTGCCATATACTGGAATTCCATATGAAGGTGTAGAGTTTAGTGAAGGAGAAATATTTAAATAGTTCTTACTAAGACCAAGTTAACTTGGAAAATTAAATGATAAACAACTATCTTCTACTTCTAACTAACAGTTGCCCAAATCAGGCATGATTACAAAGAACCTGTGGTTCCATGCACACAAGTTTGGTACTTAAAAGCTTGTTTGAACAATAATCAGCAGTTACCAAAAATTTTGGGGGTTTTATCAGGTCTTGAAGGAAAATATTTGAAGCCAGAGGAGGTAACTTGCATGCAAGCATTGCACTTGAACTGGAAGGGAAGGGGCAGGGCCTCACAGTACCTGGGCAGGGATGTAGGGACACAAATCCCCATTTCTTCCTTGCAGCAGAAAAAGAGAACCCTTCCCTAGCAGGGGTGGATCACTGAACCCCCAGATCCCAGCACAAGCCCAAACTCTCTTGCACCAAGCCCACATTTGCCCATGAGGTTGTCTTGGGAGGCTGCACCAGCCTTGGAAAACCTGGTCCCTGAGGCTGCCTGCCACCTGCCACCCAATTTCCAGGCTATCCTGACCTGCAGCCCACTCCTGACTTCTCCCAGTGGTTTCACACACCAACAATCCGTGGCTTCCTGACCACAGCCACCTCCTCCCTCCCAACCCAGCAGGTCCTTCAGTTCCCATCCCCCTGGCCAGAGCCCCAGGCTCTCTGCCAGCCCCATGGAATGCAAATGTCACCTTGGCACTAATCCTGTGTCCCCAGACTGATGATTTAGAGAGGTGAGAGGGCACAGTGACTGCAGGACAGGAGCAGGGCTGTGCTCTTGCACATGGGAAAGGTCTGTAACAATCAGGTGGGCTGGCATCCTCCTTGCGTGATGGGATACAGGGGAGCCCACAGGGTTTGGGAAGAGCCAGCTGAGCTCTGGCTGCATCCCCTGGGCTTCACCAATCAGCACAGCTGAGAGGCACAGATGGTCTGGAACACACTGCTGGTGCTGACCATTACCAGCCTTCAGGACAGGGAGAAACAGGCTCAGGAAAGAAGGAAATATGCATTTCCCATCATCCAAAGCAAAGCTACAGGCTCACTCTCTGCCAGAGTTCACCAACTGGCCAGTACATCTCATTTCACAGATGACCCATCAGTGGCTGAAGGCATTTGTAGATACTGAAGTTGAGAAACAGAGACATAAGACAGCTCTTTTGCTCTTTTATTCACATCTCTGAGGCACTTTGGTCCAGTCAAAACTTGTCCACAAAGGCCAGTTACAGAAGAGAATACAGTACATCTATCAATCTCACATCCTGAGATAAAACTCGGAGGTTGAAAAGGCTCAAGGAATAAACAGCTTGTGGAAGACAGGGAGATTCAGCTCACAGGCAAACACAATTTAGATGAAACAATACTTAACTAAATAGCCAATGTGCACTAAAGGTCACACTGATGAAAACAAAAACATGTTGTTTAGAGGAATTAGTTACTTTTTCACAGTAGTGTCATTTTCACCTCTTGAAAGTCATGTAATTAACTACATCTAGTTGTTTGCATTATATTTCAAAGCCAGTCTCCCTTTCATTACAAAGCTCTTACACAAGGAGTTGCAACATGTTTGACATAATGTTCTTTTCCTGTAAAGTAAATTTAAACAATTTTAACTTAAAGAACTCATTTAAGTAATTTGCAACTTTTGCCTCAGAGCTGTTCAGTTTCACCCTCATCTAACACCACAGGCCTTAGTTTTAGTAGGGCCAACACTAGGAAAATGTAGCCAAAATTTGCAACTCACAAATTCTACTGTGCTTTGCTAAAGGAGATAATGTGTTATTTTATCTATCCTCACTTGAAGTGCTGCAAACAGCTCCGCCAGAACTCCTTAATAAACCACAGCAGAGTGTAACTTAAGTGATACACAGGGAACCACTTACCCTGCGCTCACCCCTCGTTGCCTTCTGCTGCCCTCCTCCATCAGCCACATAGTCAAAGTCCAGACAGCCTTTACCCAAGCTGATCTTGGTGAAAAAAGGTGGCAAAAGACAGAAAGCCTTGTTTCTGGCTTTGTAGCAAAATGTTTTTCTGTGACTGAGTACACCTGTACTTGAAGGATCCAGTTGTACCTCGGAACCCTGGGACCACCAGGTCTCTCTAGGACAGCAAGTTTTGTCTCTCCACAAAGGCGCAGAGCAGTCTATAGGATCATGGTCCTGTTAGGTGCTTTGTTTTTTGGGGTTTTATGGGGTTTTGGGGGTTTTTTTTGGTGGTGGTTTTTTTATTTTTTTAATTTTTTTTTTTTTGGTTCATCAATCTGTTTTTTCCTGCTGGAAAGTCAGTGATTTCCCTTGTGCAAAACAGGGTGACACTAACATTGCACGGATGTGCTCCAGAGGAGTGCAAAGCACACAGAGCTCTGCAGAAGTGCCAGTAAGGGAATGGAGGAAAGTGCCATTGCTAGACGGAGGAAAGAGTTTTTGAGGAAAGGAAATACTCTGATGTGGTTTAATTCAGGGAAAAATGGACTGCCACATTCAGCATTGAGATGATTTTGTGGAAAGGTGGTGGTGGTGGGTCGAGGTAAGCACTTCATCTTTCTTAGTCCTACAGCCCAACTCTGCAGCTCTTGGAGCCCTGCTATGGACCACAGAATCCAGGACAACGCTGGCCAAAGACAGAAACCCGAGTTCCTGCCTGATTCTGCCAGTTCTGAGCATCCTGCCTGATTACCTGAAGAAGCAGGAACAGCTCGTTCCTTCCTCCAGAGTGCCTCGCTGTCGGAGCGCTGCCAGCAGCGCTCTCCGGACTGTGCTGGCCCCACGGCCACCCCTTCCATCAGCCCGCTGTGCCACCAGGCACGGAGCCAGCAGGAGGGACGGCAGCTCGCTGCCGGGTTATCACCCCCGCTTGGGGGATCTCGGGGTGGGCACAGAGGGGCAGCGGAGCGGCTGCCCGGGCTGCCCTTGCCGGGCGGGGCAGAGCGCAGCGGGCAATGAATACGCCACTGGCGATGCCAGCCCGGGCACACACACACACACACACCGCGCTGCTGCTCCGCTGTGCTGCTCCTGCCGATCCCTCTCTCCTCTACCGCTTCTCTCCTTTTCCCCTTTATATTTTTATATTTTTTTTCCCCCCAAACCTTTGTGGAACAGACGCCCTCTCCTTGCCCCAGTTGGAGCTGCAGTAGAATGAAAAGGAGGGGGGGGTGGGAAGGAGGGAGGAGAGGAGGGAAAAAAACCCTCTTTTGGTTGAGGTTTTCCTGTTACTATCACTGTAGCGTTTATTTAGCCAATCTCCTAACTATGACGTGAGGAAGGCAGGAATCATGGCTCGCTCATAATATTTAACACACCCACTGAAAGCTGGAGCTGCAGAGCTACTAGTCCAACCAGTCTCCAGAATTCAGTGTAGCTGAAAGAGGTTTTCACTCTGCACCTGCCAAAGATCTCTCCCCTCTTTTCCTTCTCTCCCCCCTTCTCTCTTCCATTCTCTCGCTCTTTAAAAGAAAGATCTGTAAGACCCAGCAGAGATCAAAGACCTCTTCGCTAAAAAGAACCTCTACTGATTTTTATTAGTTTCTTTCCTCTAATCCTTCCTTCTCCCCCCCTTTTTTTTTTTTTCTGTGCCATATTTAACCTTTATGTTGCAGTTGTGCCATCAGACAGTTTTGCAGCCAAAAAAAACCAACCCAAGCCAAAGCACAAGCCCAGCTCGGATACAGCAGCCACCCAGACTCGATCTCAGTTGAACTTACTAATCTCTCCCAAGCACTGGACGCGATGGATGAAGAAACTGGAACCGCTCTAAGAAAATGATTTTCCAGCCAATGTTCTTAAAGAGTCTGAGAGAAGAGAGGGAGCGAGAGCGAGCGGGGAGCGCTTCTGCTGCATCACTGCTCAAATCCAAGGGAAAGGAGTCTGCGTTTCCAGCACAGCCAAATATTATGGATGATTTTTTTTCTTCTGTCGCCTTTCTGCACAGGTTTTCTTAATATTTTTCTTTTCCCCCTCCTCCTCCCCATTTTTTTTTTAAATTTTATTTAATCAGCGACTGTGTCTGATGCCGGTTTCTCTCCGAGAGCCAGTTTTCCCTGTTTGTTGTGATCCCTGTAATAAAAAGAGGGAGAAATCGTGAACAGATGGCTTTCTATATTACCATGCCGCTGGCATTGTTTTCCTGTTGATTTTAAAGGCTCGGTCCGGAGCTCCTTTTTCTTTTTTTTTTTTTTT